TTTCTTTCTCCTCCGGCGGCCTTCTCGGCTGGGGATTCTGTTTGTTTGCTGTTTCTTGGTGTGTTTGGTGCAGATCCGGCAACTTTCTGTCTCCTCTGGCGGGCTTCTCGGCTGGGGAATCTTTTTTTTTTTTTTTCTTATTGCACAATGTACCGGTCAAATTCCGGTGTAATTTCGGCCGGTACACCGAAATTTGACCGAAATGAAATTTTAACCTATTTCGTTTCGGTTAACTTCTAAAACCGATACGTACCGACCGTATCGGCCGGTACGATACGGTACAAACTACCTTGTATTCAACTCGCCCTTGCGTGCGGGTATGAACATTGAATAATGCGAGAATTGTCCTAGGCTGTACGAACTCCCAGCAGCCTAAGGTGAAGTCTTGAGCCTCGGTTTTTATTTTGGGTCAAAGGTTTAGACCCTGGTTAGTCTTTTCATTTTTTTTTAATAATAATATTATTATTATTTTTGATCAAAGGTTTACACGGGTTTCATTTTCTTTCAAAAAAAAGTTCATCACCTCCTCGGAGCCTACTAGTTGGTAGGTAGCTTCCGAGTTATATCAGCTTTTCCTATGGCTTTCATTTGAGAATTAATAATTTCCATTTTAACACTGTTTTCTCGGTGGAGAAGTTCTTTCAAAGAAGAAGAAAAAACACACCTTCATTAGGATCAAATCTATGAAGATTTCTTCAAAGGTGGTGCAAATGCGTGTACTATTGGAAAAAATAAGTAAAGGTGATTTGCATCAGTATTAAAATGCCCAATGGTCAACAATGCCTGTTTTGTGTTTACTATTTTGGGGTCCCCAGTCATTGGATTCTCTAGTTATTAGCATTTAAAGTTGTCAATATCGTATCAATATACGTATCAATTTTGTTACTGAAATGATATATATCAGATATCAGAATTTTTTATGTACAATTTTGATTTATCACTATAAATATATATTTTTATAAATTAAATATTAAATTTTAAAATAAAATAAAAAATACTAATATTTAAAATCATCATATTTCTATAAATTGAAAACAAGTTTAAAATGACCATTTTTAGTTCCTCAATTTTTAAATATATGTATATTTTTTGTCCATCCACTTTAACATAATAATTGATAGAAGGATTAAAAAACACATTTTTCATAATTAATGGACTAAAAAATTACATAAAAAAATCAAAAGATGAAAATTATGTAAAGCATTAAAATTGAAGACCACAAATAAAATTTACCCTTTTTAAATTTGAATTGAGTGGTATAAGTCAATTTTCATGTACTGGCCAGTACATTGAAATAACGGCAGGTACATCAAAATTTGACTGAAATAGATGAAATTTGATCAAAACGAAATTGAACCATATACTGTTTTGGTTTAATATAAAAATCGATAGGTTTCGACCATACCAACTGATATGATACGATAATGATAACTATGCTAGAACCCCAAGTATGGATGCATCTAAGAAAATATAGGATTGAATTTTTAATTCATTAAACTAGAGTTACTAATAGTTAAATAAAAAAAAATCAGAGAATTGTATGTTTTGGATCACAAAACCAGTTCAACTAAGGTGGGCAAAAATTGGTTTTGAATTAACCAAAAAAAATTTTCTTTAATTTTGAGAATTAAAACCGAACTAAATTTTAATCAAACCAATCGGTTTGATTACAAATAAAATTAATTTCATTCGGTTTGGTTTTAGTTTTTATCAAATAAGCATTAATCAGTTTTTTTCCAATAATAAATTATATTTCATGTCATATTTTATCATATTTTGTTATATTTATCTAAATTTTAGTTTTTCAATGGGCTCATTTCTATTTTTGATTAATGAAAAATTTAATCAAAATCAAATCAAATTGTATTCGATTAATATCAAACCAAAACAATAAAACTTAAAAATTATTGAAACCGAACTAAATTCATTTTTTTTATTCAATTTTCAAATAACCATTTGATTATTCACCCAAATGCCCACCCCTAAGTTCAACTCAAAATATATATGAGCAACACAAATTCAGGAAGAGAAAGAAGAAGAAAATCTAACCGTTACCCTTGTAAAAAAAAAAGAAAAAGACATAAAAGTTACTATTCAAATCGTCCTTGCGAGCGGCCACGGACATTTTTTTTTTCTCTTTTGAAAATAGGCAATGCGCGGGCATGAACATTGAATACGGCAAGGATTGTCCTAGGCTGTACGAAACTCCCAGCAGCCTAAGGTGAAGTATTGATTCTTGGTTTTTACTTTGGGTCAGAGGTTTGGATCTTGGTTAGACCTTTTTTTATCAGTATTATTATTATTATTATTAATTTTTTTTACAATAAAAAATAATTAAATTAAGTGTTAATATATGTTATTATTAAGGAAGATTGAACTTTGAAGTTGACTACATTTCATCTATTATTTAATAAACAGCATGGTCACTATTAAATTACATGAGAAATTATTATTATTATTATTATTATTATTATTATTATGGAGATGAGTCTTGGTTAGTCAACGACGACATTATAATTTTATTTAAAGAAGAAGACTCTAGGTGGCTTCCAAAACTTCTTTTACATTTGACAAAAATATAGAAGACTGCAATCTTATTCAACAAAAG